ATATATATATATATATATGTATTGATCGATCTCTAGTCTTATCTATATATATATATATATATATATATATATATATATATATATATATGTATACATCACTCTCTTGCCTTTTCTATATATATATATATATACATCTATCTCCTACCTTTCTTATATATATATATGCATCTATGTCTTGCCTTTTCTATATATATATATATATATATATATACATCTATCTCTTGACTTTTCTATATATAAATATATATATATATATATATCTATATACATCTATCTCTTGCCTTATCTATGTATATATATTTATGCATCTATCTCTTGCCTTCTCTCTCTCTCTCTCTCTCTCTCTCTCTCTCTCTCTCTCTCTATATATATATATATATATATATATACATCTATTTCTTACCTTTTCTATATATATATATACATCTATCTCTTGCCTTTTATATATATATATATATATATATATATATACATCTATCTCTTACCTTTTATATACATATATATATATATACATCTATCTCTTGCCTTTTCTGTATATATATATATACATCTATCTCTTACCTTTTCTATATATATATATATATATATATATATATATTTATGCATCTATCTCTTGCCTTTTCTATATATATACATCTATCTCCTACCTTTTCTATATATATATATATATATATATACATCTATCTCTTGCCTTTTCTATATATATATATATATACACATCTATCTCTTGACTTTTCTATATATATATATATATATATATATACATCTATCTCTTGCCTTTTCTATGTATATATATTTATGCATCTATCTCTTGCCTTTTCTATATATGTATATATACATCTATCTCTTGCCTTTTCTATATATATATATATATATATATATATTTATGCATCTATTTCTTGCCTTTTCTATATATATATATACATGTATCTCCTACCTTTTCTATATATATATATATATATATATATACATCTATCTCTTGCCTTTTCTATATATATATATATATATACATCTATCTCTTGCCTTTTCTATATATATATATGTATATATATATATATATATATATATATATATGTATATATATATATATATATATATATATATATATATACATCTATCTCTTACCTTTTCTATATATATATATATATATACATCTATGTCTTGCCTTTTCTATATATATATATATATATATATTTATATATACACATCTATCTCTTGCCTTTTTTATATATATATATATTTATATATATATATATATACATCTATCTCTTGACTTTTTTATATATTTTTATATATATATTTATATACATCTATCTCTTGCCTTTTCTATATATATATATTTATATTCATCTATCTCTTGCCTTTTCTATATATATATATATTTATTCATCTATCTCCTGCCTTTTCTATATATTTATACATCTATCTCCTACCTTTTTTATATAGATACATCTATCTCTTGCCTTTTCTATATATATATATATATATATTTATATACTTCTATCTCTTGCCTTTTCTATATATGTATATATATACATCTATCTCTTGCCTTTTCTATATATATATATTTATGCATCTATCTCTTACCTTTTCTATATATATATATACATATATATATATATATATGTATACATCTATCTCTTGCCTTTTCTATATATATATATATGTATATACATCTATCTCCTACCTTTTCTATTTATATATATATATATATATATATATATATATATATTTTTATATATTCATCTATTTCTTACCTTTTCTATAGATATATCTATATATATACATCTATCTCTTGCCTTTTCTATATATGTATATATATACATCTATTTCTTGCCTTATATATATATATATATATATATATATATATATATATATCTATCTTTTAAGATATTTAGATCTAAATTTAAACTTTCAATCCTAATCCTATCAACCAACTCAAGTAAGTACCATGTTAGGGGAAGCACGTGCATTGAAGAGAGACAAGTACATTGACTTCATTAATTGAGAGAAACTATATATTTCTCAACTTTCAATCTGATGATCTCTTTTCCTATGCCTTGTTTAAAAATCCAAATTGATAGTTGAAATGTGTTCAAAGGTTCAACTTCATGCAAGACTTTACATTTTAAAAGTTTGGTACAAAATCCAAAAAGATGGCTTAGAGGCCAATCCTTCCATTGTATTTTTTGATTTAACACATGAAAAATATTATATATGAAATCACATCAATTTATAAAGTATACATGCATGACAAAGAAGAAACTACCATTTGGTTATAATTTACTTGTAGCACATGATTATGCTCACGTAGACTATGGATTGGTCTAAAATTCTTTAGCATATCTAATTTAGCAATAAGTTAATTAATCCAAATGTCTATGCAAAGAATTGAAAAATGTTTAAAATCAAAACAATGTTTGACTACAAAACACTACACCATGTGCCAATAGCATAACCTAAATTCTAAAGTATATTTGTATTTAGGCCCTCTATCATCAAATTTACAAAAGAGTTTCTTGTCTATATCGGTTAATAAAAAATTGAGTTAAATATGCAAAATGAGATTGTGCCCTTACCTATTGCTATCCAAGATTGGGAGTAGCAAGTAAAGACATAACCTTCATTGGAAATATCACCTCATAAAATGATAAATAATTGATTAGCATTTATCCATGGGGTGCTAGTCTAAGGGCACTTTTGCCAAAGATAAAATATTTAAATACAAAGTGTAAATATATTGCCTAGCTAACAGGATATAAAAGATTTTGGTACGTAATGTTATGTAGATACAGCTTAGTGTAATGAACAGAAAAACCGAAGAAACAATAGTGATGCAACTAATCCTACCATGAACATTTACAGATATCAAAGAGAAGAACCTACCACATCATTGACACGCTGATTTTAACTTTTAGTGCGAAAGCAGATTGCAGTGTTTAGATTATCGCAACAGTTGCAGTGAGTAGGTGTGCAAAATTCAGCATCTCCTTGAAGTTTCTGGATTACTTGGTGGGTACAGCTTAGAAAGTAGACGAATTCATTACAACCAAAAACCGACGAACAATTTTCAAGAGCAACAGCGACCCCTGGAATCGGATGTCTAAGTTCGTAGAAATGCCCGATCCTGCATTTTCTCTCCAAGAAAATAATAACAAAAAAAAAAAAAAACAATGTGTTTGATTTAGGCAATGCAGGTTGTGCGAGAAGTTACAAACTATCTTCCCTGGGATTGGGACGAGATGATGCTCTTCCGGTTCAACCCTAAAAGTTTTACAACTTGCGTTATTACCTTTGCAGAGTGTCAGAACTTGGTGCAATGATACCTAATCCCTACACCCAGCACCATGGTCGCGGATACGCCTCCCAATTCAGGGTACACATGCGATGCTTCTGTGAGTTTCCAAGGAGCAAATCAACATGACATATCGAACAGCCATGATTTGTTGTAACAGAGTACATCGGACGACCCAAATCGTGTTCCAGTTTCCGTTAGCCCATTCTGATGGGTAGCTGGTTTCACGCAACACCAATTGACGTGACGAATCCTCACGCGCAGAAAGTGTGTTAACGCACCCGGTCAGCATCTTGGTCAGCCTCAGATTACGCTTCATTACCGTTATGCTCCTCTGAATTTATCCGAGCACAGGCTTCTGTAACTTGCGCATCTTGTAACCTAGGCATGAGGAGCATTGAATCGTACTCCCGCAGTTGCCTTTACCCAAGTTTGATATCTCTAAATCAAGCCAAATGGCTATATTCGCAAACCTTGAATGGTATGATTCGACGACACTCGACCACCCGTAGCAGGTAAAGTAGCTGCATCTGGACTGGAACTCTGATTTTACAGTGAGGGCCTGAAGAAGCACGAGAATCGAGTTCCCGGGTTTTCGCTATTGAGGTCCTCCACGACCTGGCCACTAGTAGGGAGGGTATCAACTGTTAAGATTGTGCTCAGACACAATGACGTTGTATATTTGGCGCCTTCTACCCCCCACACGGGCTCCCGCCTTTTGTTAAACGCGGGAAACTTCGCCTGCGCAGTTCAAACATTCTGCAATCCCACGTTCTGCCCATCCAAAGCTTTGTCTCTTGGTTTTTTTTTTTTCGCTGCTACGGATGGATTTGTGCAGAGTAGACTCCATTGCGGCCTTGTTGTTGCTTGTCAATTAGGGCATTCCATTCACGTGGTGTTGTAAAGGAAGATCTACTCGAAGGTATGCTGCAGACACTGTTGCTGGATTAAGTTAGGGATGTCTCTGGTTTGCGCAGCTGCGTTTCGCTGCAGGGTTTGAGTGGAGTTGTGTTTTAAGAGGATTTATACCGGTTTTCGCACAATGACGTCGACGGTCAGAGCCACTGGGTGTTACAAATGTGGAAAGCCAGGGCATTGGTCGCGGGATTGTCCCTCGCAGCCTGCGTCTGAGAATCCCACTCCTGGATCTGCTTCGGTGCCGTCGTCGTCTGGGGTATTCGCAGCAGCGAAGGGAGGGACGCAGGCAAGCACTCAGGGGTTCAAGAGGAAGGAGCCTTGGCGGGGAGGTGAGAAATCGGGGTCTTTTGGTCCGCGTGAGAAGCCAGCCAAAGCGCGTGTGCCGCCCCGGCGCATGCCCAAGCTCACTCCCGATCTGCTGCTGGGAGATGATGGCTTGGGTTATGTGCTCGAGAAAATTCCCCGCCAAGTTAACATCAGAGGGCGAGGTCACGAGGTTGAGGATTTGAAGAGCCTGCTTGAAGCGTATGTCCGGTGGCACCAAAATCTATTGCCCTACTACTCCTTCTCCCAATTCGTGGAAAAGGTGGAGAAGGTCGGCTCCACAAAGCGTGTCCGGGTATGTCCTATAATGTCTTAGAGTCTTTTCCTTTTAGTGGTTGAATAACTGGTGTTCGTTTCCTGTTCGTGCTTCAGCCTTGTGTCTTTTAGCCCGACAGTGCAGAGTTTTGCTTCTAGTTCAACGATTTTCTTCAGTTGCATGGACGCTGCTCTTCCTAGGAAATTCAACCCTCACATGTGGGTATGCAGCTCTGTGTTCGTGAATTACGATCTAAGGTTGAGAAGGAAAAGAACTCCTTGGGCGCAGATGCCAACTCAAATGCAGACGATGATGGTCAGTATGCTTTCATCTGCCAACATGGGATATCTCTCTTCCATCTGAAAGTTTACTTGCACTTTCTGGTATCTTGGTTCCTGATGCTAACACTCTGTCAGTGGCACTTAATAACAGTCTCAATGCCACATCATATCAGTGTTCAATTCTATGGTCATAAGCTCACTTTTCTGAAATATATTCCTATCATCCAGAAGCGCCAGACACGAAATGGGAAGAAAACGATGGCGACGCAGCGGAGGATCACGGAGACCCACCAATGGATGTATTAGAGGAACACTTGCGTGAGTCAGCACATGCTTCAGTCTCAAACCTAGTAGAAGCAGCGCCTGCTTCTGCCCCAAGGCCTACCATTGTAATAGGTCCAGAGCCCAGTACAGTGGCCCAACAGGAACTTAAGGAAGAACAGCGGGCTAGAATGGAGGCTAACAAGCAGAAAGCACTTGAACGAGCCCGTGCCCGGAAACTTGAGTTGGAAAAGGCTAATTCTACTCCACTCACATAAGCGGTTATGTGTCTGGAGTTACAACCTTGTAGAGTAGCTACCAGCTTATATTCTACCTCAGATGAGCAGTGTACATATCGTCGTAGTACCCTGGAATGGCCCGATTCTTATTTTAAAGTCCCTGAGTTAGTCTCCTCCACCAGGAGCCTCTTGCTTGTGAGAGACTGAGCTGAAACATTAGATGTTTTGTTTACAAGCTTTCACGCATTTGGACTGTGACATCCATTAATCTTTCAGTCACAGCAGCCCTAATCGAGTTTATACGGATTCGGCTTTAGAATTTTTCGATTCATAGTTATGCGAAGGCGGTGGAAAATGATTGATGGCACACTCTTAATGAAATTTAAACAAGGTAACGTATAGGATATTTTGTATTGTATTGTATGTGAACAAGGCATTGTACTTATGTGTAGGATATTGTATTGTAGTTAATATTTTGCATGTTTAATTAAGTTGGATTCCTTGTGTATCTTATTTGTGAAAAAGTTCCCAACATTATTCATGTATGACTTTTTGTAGTCGTTTCTAGTAGTAGCCTGATGTGTGTGTATTATTCAATATGGGTACTAAAGCAATCTATTTATGTACCATTATTGAGTTATTAAACTGGCTTCTTAAATGATTGACCAACAATGGTGATAATAATTGGTTGAATATAATTAATACATCAAGGAGTAATTAGATAATTTATTGTGCTTTACTTCATATAAAATGACTTTTATGTGAGAATATACTTAAGAGAAGATAAATGGTAGTTTTGTTTATGTAAAATTTACTAGGATTATATCATCATCTATTTGTTATTTGTTAGAGTTAGGTTTCCAATATTGAATAGTTATACATCTAGTAGAGTTAGGAGAATTAGGATTTCATTATTTTTTTTGATGAACTAAATTAGTTACATCTTCATGTCTTATACAAACTTATTGTAAGAGACATTGGACATTTGTAAAATCAATCAACAAGTGCCAAAGTTAGTACTTATGTTTTATATGAATATGGTATGAATGTAAGTTCTTACAAACATATTGTAGATTGTTTTAATAAGAAAAGTTTTTCAAGGATAATAGAGAAGTTTATTTTTTTTATTTTTTTATTTCCTTACAAAGTCATTCAAAGAGAGTAAAACAGTCTTTTTTTGCTCCTCTCATATGTTTATAGTAGAAATATATAAACCCAATAATAAGAGACATCTATAAGACTACAAAGTTAGAAAGAGCATTCAATTGCATACTAGGGAGTTCTAGGATTCAAATGATTTTGATGCAAAGAAACATATGGCAATTGATTAAGTTGTCTCCATCCATTTTCACCAACATTAAAGAATCTTTAGCAACTTCACATATTGTTGCAATTGTACATGTAATATCATGCATAAGGTAGCAAGGTCCAAACATCAAAAATACAACATTATATCAAAAAATAATAGTTGAGAATACAACATCAATTTTCATTCTTCAAATCATATTAGAGCTTGCAATATCATTATACCTACAATATAAGTATCTATTGTTCTTTATGTAATTGGTATTCTTAAACATCAAGTACTTTGGAAAAGATTGCAAACATTCTATGATATATAAAACTTGAATAAAAAACAAACATTAAAAAAAAGTTGCATATTCTATAATTATAAAAATGGAAAGGTATAAACAAATATTTGCAAGAAATTAATTTTTTTCTTAATCAATTAGCTAAAATGTACATCAAATAATTTATCAAAGAGTTGATCCATCTTTAAGCAGATTTAAAAAGACACAATGAAATTATACATATTTTTTGAATAAGAAGATTTTTTGTTATAAGAAGAAGTTTCTTGTCAATATAAGAACAAATGATAATAGAGAAAAAGTTTTATATACAAGAGGTTATTTTTAAGAAAGTGGACTCAAAAGAAAAGACTTATATCAAAATTTGAGTGGACTTTCATTTGGTTGTCATCATCAAAGAAGAAGACATAGTTATCATCAAAATGCAAGAAGTAGCAATATAATTAAACCTCAACAAAGATCAAAACAACACATCACTTATCACAAATGTCACAAACTTTGACATTATGCTTAAAAATATGACATAATGAGTTTAGAAAATAAAACACAACAAATATAATCCATATTTTTAAAAATGACAAAAGAAAGTAATAACAATATAATAGAAGATGACAAAGAAGAAGAATATACAATAGATTTTATAATTGAAGCTGCAATAAATGCATGTTTTGATGCATTTGATTTCAAATGTACGTAGTTTTTTGACTTTGGAGTAAACTCATATGTGATTAGAAATAAATAAATAAATAAAAATATTACTAAAAAAATAGAAGACTCTAAAATATCTAATATTAAAAAAATTAAAGGATAAGATGTACTTGTAATTGGATAAGAAAATATATAATTTAAATTTTTCTTTGAATAAATAAAATTTGTAAAGAATGTTCTTTATATTTTATAAGTAAAAAGAAATTTATTTTTAGTTGAGATTTTTGCAAAATTAGGCCATATAATATTATTTAACTTTAATTTTTTTATATATTTTAAGATTTCAAAAATAAAATAAAAAATATATTAAGTTTAAGAAAAAAAATAATCCCATTTATATGGCTTCTTCATTGCCAAAAAAAGATGGAAATAATACAAACAATCAACAACAATATGATAGCAGAGATGATACTTGTTTTGAATAATTTACATATATATATATATATATATATATATATATATTAGAACATCATTAGACTTTTGCATAAAATAATTGAACACATTATTTACCAAAAATTTTATCACTTATTTAATCAAAGATTACTTGATGGAATTCCGTAAATATTCTTGTGAAAAGAAGTGTGTGAGAATTATATATATAGAAAAATCCACAAAAATTATTTTTCCAAGAAACCAAGTAGTTTCACTGTAAGGTAGTTAAAAAATATTTATTCTGATTTATGTGGATCTTTACTATTTTTATCCTTTTTTTAATAATTCATTTTAACTTCTATAGATGATAATATACAAAAGACGTGGCTATTTTTTTACAAGGCAAATTTCAAATATTAGAGAATTTTAAACTATTTAAGGCATTGGTAGAAATTCCAAACATGAGTGTTGTATGCCTTCAAATTGACTAAAGAGGTAATACACTTTAAGTGACTTTTAAAGTTATTATCAACAAAAAGTTATTTAGAGAGAATTCATTTCTACTTACTCTTGATAAAAAAATGGCATTGTAGAGCAAAAAAATAAATCTAGATTAGAAGGGGTTTTAAGTATTATTATTAGAACAAAGATATAAAGATATTTGTAAGAAGATGTTGCAAAAATGGTTAATAACATTCAAAATTGATGTTCTATAAAGACACTCCAACTTCCAATATGTAGCAAATCTTTTACTTACAACAAACCAAACCTTGTTCATTTATGAATTTTTAGTTGTGTAGCATATTACCAAGTATCATTAGCAAACATAAATAAATTGGATTCTAAGGTTTTTTGTAAACTCTTCATATATTATAGTGAGAAGAATAATCTATATTATTACTATGATCTTATTAAAAGGAAGATTGTTATATCCATAGATGTGAAATTTGATGAAGAAAACTATAATTTGATAGTTTCATTGACAAAAAATTTATTCATGGAAAGAAATATTGATTTTTTTATATTTAATCAAAATACATTATCAAACAATATGATAGAAAAAAACATCCATATATGTTCAAAAAATTTATCATCAACAAAAATATTCAAACAATTATAAAAAGATGACAATGTAACAAGCATCTTTAAATTAAAATTAATAATTCCAATAATAAAACAACAAAAAAAAATCTAATTAGGTTAACAAAAAAAATCAAATCTTCTCTTTGCAGCTCAATAGCTAAGCTCTTTAATTTGGATTTTCAAACTTGTAATGCTCTCTAAACACCATCAAAGAGAAATTTAGGTACATTTATCAAAAGAATTAAATTACAAGAGAGCTATGATGACACAAACAAAATGAAATGGGAAATAAGTGAAAAAACACCTACTATATACTTACTTCAAAATGAGTTTGGAAGGAGGGTGTTGATTGTATACATTCATTAAGAATTTATCATCATCCACTTATTCATCTATCTCTTGCCTTATATATATATATATATATATATATATGTTTATATATTTATATGAGAAGGCTTTAAAGCTACAAAATCAATCACATTTTTTAGAAAATAAATGGAAATAAAAATTTTGACAACAACTTTGCCCTTATATGTATTTAAAATTCAACTCTAAAAACTACAAGTAAGTTGAAAAAATCAATAATAAAAAATTGCTCAGCTCTATTTCTGAAAAGGATTCATTGAAAGATTTTAACAAGATTTGTTAAACACTTGTCTTTAAAACATTGAAATAGTAATTGGAAAGAGAAATCATGATTTGCAAATTCAATGTTTACATTAACACAAATGTGTGAATCCTTTCTGCACATTTTGGTCTCCTTAAAACACAAAGACAGAATGAATCCAAGAAGATGGATGTAAGAAAAGAGAGTATGGATATGGTTGTAAAGAAGTGGAGAAAAGAGTGGAAAGAAAGGCACCCAAGAGAGATGAGAAACCGGATCTGCAAATACCGAAACAAAAATCCCCTGAAAAGCACTCGTACTCACACTTTCCTCATTTAAGAAAACAATAATGGAAGCATGTGTTGTGTTTTGTGTCACCAGCAACCGAACGCGAAAGATAAAGAAATAGGAGGACGGGAAAGAAAACGGAAGTCAACGAGAAACTCGGAAGATAAAGAAATAACAAGGACGAGAAAGATAGCGGAAGACGACGAAAAGCGCAATGAGCAAACGCGTGGTGAAGGACGAGGATGCGCATCGAGCGACGCCGCGACGGACAGCACGGGAGGCCCGTGAGGCCCGCGAGGGGATGGATCGCAGTCAGATGATGCGATCGCACGCTGTGGCCTCGCATAGCATCACATCGCAACGCAACGCAGGTCGCCGGCCCCCCAACGCGGCCCCACTCGGCGCGCTCCCATAACACTTGCCGTGGCACTCACCTGGCCGGCATTTGTTCGCTCGCAGATTCCGTATTGCCTGCTCCCCTCCTCCTCTCGTGTCGTCTTCCTCTCCACTCCCCAGGTGCGTCTCACCCCCTCCCTTTCCACTCCTCTGGTCGTGTGTTGCTGTCGCTGGCCTTGTTGATATGGATTTCGTTTCGCTGCATCCAGTGTGGGTTATCCATGTGGATGTTGGAGAGAGTGTAGGACCCATTTCTGTTGTGGGTTTTGTGGGTTTTGTGGTTTAGACCTGGGGATTGAGTGTTGCATTGGGGTTTTGGTTTTTGTGTCTTTGTGCTTGAGTAGCTGATCCAGGGAGTGAAGGGTGCTCTGCCGCCATGAAGGTCATTGACAAGATCAACAATGGCCTCGCCGGAGGCAATGTGGTGTTCTCCTTCGAGTTTTTCCCTCCGAAGACCGAGGAAGGAGTCGAGAATCTGTTCGACCGAATGGATCGCATGGTCATGCACCAGCCTGCGTTTTGTGACATCACCTGGGGAGCTGGAGGGTCGACCTCCGCTGTCACCCTCGACATTGCCAACAAGATGCAGAACATGGTAAGTTTCGGGACGCCGTCTTGGACGTGGTGGTAGTTTGTGGTGGTTGTAATCGGACCAGTGTTCCTGGGCCTTGAAGCAAATTCAATGTGTGTTGGAATTTTTGCGCAGATTTGTGTCGAAACCATGATGCATCTTACCTGCACCAACATGCTGGTGGAGACGCTCGATGGTGCGCTTGACAGCGTCAAATCTAATGGGATTCAGAACATTCTTGCTCTGCGTGGTGATCCACCACACGGCCAGGACAAATTCGTAACCATCGAAGGAGGGTTTTCCTGCGCATTAGATCTGGTAGGTATTGCTTCGATCTTTGTGAATGGAGAAACAAAACTCGGCTGTGACTTGGCTTGGCTGCGTCGACACTTTTTTCATACTTCGCTGAGCTTAGTGTTGAACCTTGTGCCGTAAAAGTGCGTTGGTTGTGGGTGCACTGATGCCAGTTTTGTAGATCGTTTTGTAGGAGGAGGGGTTCCTGATCTAATTCGTAGGAGTTGAATTGCTTTAATGAATTTACCTGTGAAGATTTCTAAGTGATTTGGCATGGTACTGCGCAGGTGAGACACATCCGAGCCAAGTACGGTGATTATTTTGGAATTACCGTCGCTGGATACCCTGGTATGTTGCACTCTTCATCACGTGGCACCTCTTTGCACAGTGTACTTGTTACTTTTAATTTTGGTTTTGGCTTGTAGACACTGATGCTCATGGAAGTGCAGCTGCAGAATTATCTGTCGGGTAGTTACTCTCAAACGTCTAAAAACATATCCACACACTATCAGCCGCTGTGACAATAACTTCTGCGTTCACATCTGTAGTAATTGTAGTATAGAGGAAATCCATATCTGGTTTCACATTTGTTAGAATGTTCCCATTTTTAGAAATATCTTGCCACCCAACTCTCAAAGTCATTGGTGTTAACTGCAGAGGCTCATCCTGAGGTGATCGGCGAAGACGGAGTTGCAAGCGAGGAGGCGTACCAGAAGGACCTGGCTTATCTGAAAGAAAAGGTAATCACAGTCCCCATGCATTTACTACATGCCTGTGATGAGTAATTGCTTCTACTTTCTCAGTAGACACCGCAAGCTCCTTGTCATCCTCATCGGTATTTGTGATTGAGGATATGAACTTATCCTGTTTGTCTTTTGCACACAACGTCTTAGCTTTTTTTTTTTTTTTTTTTTTTTTTTCTAAGAGTTGTGGATTTCACGGCAGTATCAATCGGGTGTCCGTTGCCCGAGAGACATCTAATCGGTTCTCTGTTTTTTCGGAATTTGAATTTTTCTAAAAGTTTTACTTCTGGGTGTCCAGTGTGACGCAGGTGGAGAAGTCATTATCACCCAGCTGTTTTATGATACCGATATCTTTTTGAAATTTGTGAATGATTGTCGTCAAATTGGTATCAAGGTGCCCATTGTACCTGGTATCATGCCCATTCAAAATTACAAGGGCTTTCTCCGCATGACCACCTTGTGCAAGACCAAGGTATGACTTCAATGTCTTTCTCTTGTCTGTAATTCCTGCAATGGGATTCTCTGTTGAGAGGGATTTTAACAAAGTAAGGCCCGCGTCTGGTTACTGGTCGTACTCGTCCTGCCGAATTAGATGTTGGTGGCATATCATTTGTTGTGACCGGTTTTGGAATGTTATTGTGATACCATTTTATAGTGTACAGTGAAAATGCGCGTATCTAAAGAAGATATGTATGCACTTATCAGGTGCCAGCTGAAATCATGGCTGCACTAGAACCTATCAAAGACAACGACGAAGCAGTGAGAGCGTATGGGATCCACCTAGGCACAGAAATGTGCAAGAAGATCCTGGCGCATGACATCAGGACATTGCACTTGTACTCCTTGAATTTGGAGAAATCAGTTCTTGGCATTTTACAGGTAACTTATAGAGATTAGGATTCTTCCTGCTAATACAGCTAGTAACCATTTCAGAAATATTTTATTGGAAGTTTCATGTATCATTGAAACCGAGTCTTCACCATGGGCACTTTTTATGTCAGAACCTGGGGTTGATCGACTTCAGCAGGGTTTCTCGTCCTCTACCGTGGAGGCCTCCAACTAACAGCAAGCGTACAAAGGAGGACGTGCGTCCTATTTTCTGGTTCGGTTCTGTCTAGGAAATCCTATTTCTTTTCCTCCTCTGCCGTTCGAAGGTCCTAGGCTTAAATCCAGGTCATTTTGAAGAATGTCTGAAGATCTTTTCCAACTTATTTCTTATTTCTACTTTTTGTAAGGGTTGTAGTTTGGTGCTAGCCAATATGTGCCTACACAATGAATGTAGGCTTCATCTCGAACTTCCAATTTGATTAGAAATTAAGTTATTGGATAGGAACATTAGAAGTATGCTCAAATGCATAGTTATTTTAATTCCTCTTAGGATTCTGAAGCCCTAAGGAATGTATTCTCGTTCCCTTAGGGCCAACCGACCTAGAAGCTACATTTCACGAACCACCAGCTGGGACGATTTTCCTCGTGGAAGGTGGGGAGATACCGCCAACCCTGCTTACGGCAGCTTCAGCGATCATCAGGTCAGTTCATCAGTTTCAAAAGTGAAATCTTCTTGCTAGGAAGTTGTTTTCTTCATTCAACATGTGTTTTGACCATGGTCTAGTCCCATCATTCATGGCTAGTAGATACAGGCTTTCCAAATCGATTCAATATTGCTTTCATGTGAATGTGCGATTACCTACTGAAATATTATGTTGCGCTTGCAGTTCACCAGGAAGAAGACCCGTAGCAAGAAGTTGCAGAAGGAATGGGCGGTGCCCTTGAACTCATCTGAAGATGTGAATGCGGTATGGAACGGGTTATCCCCGAACCTTTTCTGTTTTTTACCGTCTACTTAACGAGAATTGATCAAACTGGGGTCACGGCATAAGCTATTGCAGATTATGTGTAAGTATGGCGGTTGTGTAACTGAAGTTGGCTGGATTATATTTGCAGATTTTTGCGAAGTATTGCCAAGGAACTCTGAGCACGCACCCATGGTCGGAGTTGGAGGGACTGCAGCCGGAGACCGTGCAGATTAATGAGAAGCTCGTTGCTCTTAATCAGGGAGGGTTCTTGACGATCAACAGTCAGCCTGCGGTCAATGGCGAAAAGTCGGATTCCCCGAGCGTGGGTAAGTTCCACTAAACTCATTTCATTGTAACACCCCAATGCCTACGCAGTAATTCAGGCGTGAGAACTGTCGTCGCAACTATTACAAGGGCTGATCTTTTTGGCATTATTTTGCTTTATTGTGAGACAGTATCTTTATATCGCCCATAACATTTATATTCACATCGATTATGTTCAGGATGGGGAGGTCCAGGTGGTTATGTCTACCAGAAGGCATATGTTGAATTTTTCTGTTCACCTGAGAAGCTTCAAGCCGTCATTGAGAAGGCAAAGACGAGTCCATCCTTGACTTACATTGCAGTGAATGCCAAGGGAGAGACCAAGTCCAACGTCGGTCCTACCAGTGTGAATGCTGTCACATGGGGCGTTTTCCCTGCCAAGGAAGTGATTCAACCAACAGTAGTTGATCCAGTGAGTTTCATGGTATGGAAGGACGAGGCCTTCCAAGCTTGGGATCAAGAATGGGCTTCGCTTTACCCTGAAGATGATGCCTCACGCAAGATTCTCTCTGAGGTAATTGTTATGCGAGTTTTGTCTGGACCTTTGAGTATCGGGGGTTACAGTGTGGATGTCATCGTTTGCTGAGGCATAAAGGTATCAAGATTTAGTCTAGGTGTGCTCCACTCGTGTACGATGAGGTAGGAGGTGTTATGCTCAAATCTGGCTACTTTGGCATTTCATTTATATCGTTACTTACGCGACGGGGTATTATGTGCAGATCAAGAGCTCATACTTCCTGGTCAGCATGGTGGACAACGACTACATTAACGGCGATCTTTTCTCTGTCTTTGCCTGAATGAAACTTGAACACCAATCTACACATGTGGGATGATGTGTAGAAAATATCATTTCTGTGTCTGGTTGGAACACTGCATGTCAGACGCCTGAAGTAGGTGAAAAATGGATTGAGAGAAAGGATATCTGAAATTCATGATATTTTAGTTTGAACTAGACAAGTGCAATTTGCTTCTGCACTTAGTTCTCTAGATGAGCTCATGTCTAAATTTAAAATTGGAAGTAACTGTTCTTTTATCTAAAATGTTGTAACAATCAATCTATTCAGTAGTCATTACCGGCAGTGCCATTTGTTTTCATGATTTTTAAACAGGATATATTTTTGAACACATGTTTCGTTCTAATCACCTGCATTCTTAAATTAAACATCTTTTGCCTTCGCGATTAAAAGAACACAATAGCTAGAAATTGCAACGATGCATCCATGCAGCACAAAAGCAGTACTTCTCTTCTGCTCCAAGGACCTCTGAATGTCACGACAGAATCACGTTTTTTGCAGTCATTTCCGTGCCACATTATGTCAAAATTCAGTAATAGTGCATCAGGTGTTAAATAATCCAATTTCTGCGTTGTCAAGGGTTTAGTTCACAGTGTACGGGAGAACATATCATCACTTAGTTGATCCGCTGAACGTATTAATGCAGCACGAAAGAGTAGCCTCGCACTCTAATAGTCTTCTAGCCTCCAATCTGACCTTTTAGGTCGTCCGATATTGCATCGAAACAAACTAGTCCGAGGAAGAGAACTGGAGGAATGAGGGTGCGGGAACGCCAAGAGTTATGTTCCAAGCTGACGCTTTCCACGATGCAGCTGAAATCAGGCAGAAGTTAAGGTGACATTACTTAAAAGATAAAGCAAGTGGGCATTCTAATGAGTTGATGAATCACTATCATTGCAAATAAATTTGTATAAAATCGGATAATGATGAGAATTACCTCGACGGGGCTCCAATTTTAAAGATGAATGTTGACAATTTTTTGAGTCACTATCTTGAATAAGCGGGATGACGAACAGGCACATTCAGGCCTCTCGCAGACATCAAGTGACCTGCAAACCAACCTGAGTGGCATGTCAGAGCATATCCTTCGCAATTTACCGCCACATCGCAGCAGGTTGTAGCTCCAGCCCTTGTAGTGGCGCTCTTGTCCTTTGCGAACCTCTTGGACACGAATTCGTCGGTGTTTTCCCGCACCGACGGCTCTCGATGCATTCTCAATGCGATGAGGAAGCTTCCCCCATTTTGAGTAGCCATGCATTAGATGTAGTTTTTGGCCATGTGGATAAAAGCAACGAGCCGGAGATGGACGGGTTCAAATCCACTGGTGGGTATATTGCACAAGGTGCTAACCATGATCTGCGTCTCTTCCGCACGCGCGTCTTTGGATATGCCAGAAATCAGGGTTAAGATTGGAAGCATTAAGCATTTGATGAAATGTCGGAGCGCTGGACGTGAGGAAAAGGACGCCGAGTGGAAGACATAATCAAGTATACGCCAGGTTGCCAAATTGCATCATTGTGTTATTGGTTGAGTCCGACTTGGAAGGAATTTCCAGCACACGGACAACATGGAACTCGAATTTGCATCATTTCTCATGCTTTTGCATTGCCTGCAAATTATGCTGCACGTGATGGATTAGACACTGAATCGGACATCTCACGTCTTCTAGCTAGAATTGGATCAAACTGGACAACTTGGGTTTGGATTTCTGATTGAGAATTGCTGCAAGATGTGGGGATTGTGCGTTTGTTGTAAGGCTGCATCATCATTTAAGTGAACCCTTTTAATGTTAGTTGTGGTCAGATAGTTGTATTTAATGGCTTTGTCGTATGGGAGGAATATGAGCTTGTCAGGAGGACGAGGTTTTGTGCCGAAAAGGGTAATAAATGTACGGCATGATGTTTTTGTTTCCATGATCTAAATAGCCTTAAAACAAACTACTGGTTATCACAAGATCATGGATGTGACTCTTGTTTTTGGAGAGATTGTATTCTTAAGTCGAAGACTGCAACCAATTGCAAATATGGTTGTTGAATACTTCAAGATGACTGGGTTCCAGTGAAGGTTTGTCTCAGATTGTCTAAAATACACAATCTAAAATATATGTGCGTGTTGAATCTTCAAGTAAAAAGGAAAGAAAAAGAAGCTAGATTTGTTGAGAATGTTTAGAAAGACACAAGAGTAATAGTAAGTCATACACACACAAGAGTAGTAGTAAGTCATACACACACACACAAGAGTAGTAGTAAGTCATACACACAAGAGGGTTTTTAAGGAAAGAGAGCTTCACACACATACTTCTATTAATCTAGTTGTGTCTCATATACAAGAAGAGAAAAGAGGAGAGGATAAACAGTACTTCTCCACTAGACTCTAAATACTGTAGCTATAGTAATTATTGTAGTCTACAGTAAATATTATGGAAAGCGTCGGCTACATTTAATGATCTCAACACTCCTCCTTGCTCATCATAATATTTACATAATATAAAATTTGCATAGAATTATGATGTATACTTTTCTGTGATCTTGCAAGATCAACAATTGTTGCCTCATTAAAACCTTATCTGGGAAAACCTTATTTTATTTAAAGACAAAACAATAGATGAAGGAAAAAGAGTACAACACCATTTTCTTTAATTATTTAAAGAGCTCATTAACTTTTTTATTCAAGAAAAGCAAGTCGCCACAGACCAATGCCATAAGTAAGTCAACGATGGTTACTTAATGAGAGAGCTTTGGTGAAGAGATCAACAAGGTTATTTGTAGATTCAATTTTCTTAATTATAAGTGCTTGATCAGTAATCAAGTCATAAGTATAACTGAAATGCTTTGGATCAATATGCTTTGTCCTATCGCCTTTAATGAAACCAACTTGCATCTGTGCAATACAAGCACTATTATCTTCATGCAAGATAGTTGGAGAATCATCATATGAAAATCCACAGGTTGTTTGAATGAATTTATCAATTGATCGCAACCAAATACATTCTTGAGATGCTTCATGTAAGGCAATAATTTTTGCATGGTTGGATGAAGTTGCAGTTATTGTTTGTTTCACTGATTTCCATGATATTGGAGCTCCATGTCTTAAAAATACATATCTTGTTTGAGATTTAGCTGTTGTAATATTAGATTTATATCATGCATCACAATATCCAACTAATTTTGGATCTGCAGATTTTGTGTAGTATAATCCTAAGTCTTCAGTACCTTTTAAATAACGTAATAAATGTTTGATGCCATTCCAATGTTGTAGTGTAGTATGTCTTGCAAGAACACTAACTACAAATGCAATATCTGGTGTTGTAGATGTAGCTAAATACAAAAGTGCTCCAACCGCTGCAAGGTATGGATATTGGTCTCCCAATATTTCCTCCTCATCCTCGCATGGTGTTAGGAACATAGTCCTTAGAACCTTCTAGAGACAAGTTTCTAGAACCTTTTAGAAGCAAGTCTCTGGAACCTTCTAGAAGCTTCCTAGTTGGTAGAAGATGTTAGGAACATAGTCCTTAGAACCTTCTAGAGACAAGTTTCTAGAACCTTCTAGAAGCAAGTCTCTAGAACCTTCTAAAAGCTTCCTAGTTGTTAGAAGTTGCTTGAGAAGCTTCCTAAATAGGAGTATATATTGGAATCGAGGCTGAAGAGTTCTTCAGTCTCGACAATACATCTCTTGGAGCTCTAGCTCACCTCTCTGGTGTTGTTTTTGTATTCATCTGATTAATCTAGTTCTTTCCAGTTCTTCTTCTTGTTCAATCTCGAGTCTGTATTTTTGTGTCTGTGACACTTTGTCGAGACTTCACTCACCTCATATATCAGAGCTAGTTTCTTCCTTGTTAGAGTGTGGAATACTCCTCTGTTTGGAAGTCTATTAGCATTTTAGAGGTTGCGGATTACCCTCCTCTAAATTGATACTTCTTTTGTTACAATATTGGAGTCTTATTCTTCTTGGAGAGAGTGGATTACTCCTTTTCTTGAAGCTCCTAAGGTATTTTAGAGGTTGCGGAGTACCTTCCTCTAAACCAATATTTTCTTCTTGTAGAGTCATTTCTGTCCTTCTCTTAGAATGGCCGGAGGCCAAGACATTAGTATGACAGAAAGTTCGGAGTCCAAATTGGATGCTATCATGAATGCCCTTGCTACGTTATTGCAAAGAACTGCAAAGATTGAAGGAGTCGTGGCAAGGCTTCATAATGATGGAGCATCTGGAATGGCACAATCTAGGTTGCACCAGCCTCAAACTTCTGCATTTGGAGAAGCAACTTTGCCTGAGGTTTGACAAGCACTGCTGATTCTACAACATAAGGAGCCCCGAGCTAGCCTTCTGGACAAGTTCGATGATACGCATTCCAAATTTCGAGGATTCGTCAACCAAATCAGGTTGATAACAGTTTTGCAACCCGAACGCTATCCAACAGAGGAGTCACGTGTTGGGCTTGTTGGAACCTTACTTACAAAACAAGCTCTATCATGGTTTGTTCCTTTGTTTGAGAAACTATCCTCTATACTAAACAACTTTGAAACCTTTTTGGAGGTGTTTGCGGAAGCATTTGGTGAACACGACAAGGTTCGATGGGCTACAACAAAGATCTGGTGATTACGACAAGGGATGCGCTCTATATTAGTCTATGCATCGGACTTCAGGTAATTAGCATACGACATCAATTGGGACGAAGAAGCGTTGATGAGTCAATTCTATTGGGATTTAAAGGACAATGTGAAGGATTTGCTGTAAACTCTTTCTGATCCGCAAACGCTCAACGAAGCTATTAGCCAAGCTGTGAAGTGTGATAACCGCCTATTCCAACACCGCCAAGACCAACGTTCAAGACAACATACGATTTGCCATGTTCCAACTATGTCGGCAAGCAGCATGAATTCACATTCAGAGATAGAAGACATGCAAATTAATGCGGTACGTATCAAATTCCTTACTCTAGAAGAAAAAAAACGACGTATGGAGGAAGATCTATGCTTATATTGTGGTGAAGAAGGCCACAAAGTTGGAAACTGCCCCAAGAAGCAAAATTGACATATTGTCAGGACTAAAGGTGAGTTTGTTCAGGAAAACGAGGATGCCCAGCCACAATAGGAACCGTGCGTCTGAAAAGTGAAATATCGCAATAACAATCAGGTTCCTTTCTTTCCACTCAACTTGCCCTTTGCTTTACAATCCCTTTGCTTATTGGCCCTCAGAAATTGAGAACCTTAGCATTATTAGATTCAGGAGCATCTGCTTGTTTCTTAGACGAAGAATTTGTAAAGTGTCATAAGATCCCTTTAGTACAAAAATCCAAACCTGTTCACATTGAGGTCATAGATGGATGACCTT